AATATAGCAACATGAGGAAGAGAAGAATGAGGAAAATGGGTCCCCTGGATCTAGGAAGGATTTGAATTGAGAATTGAAGCCCACGGGGAAAGTGAAGAGAGAAAGTTCAACAAAGAAGAAAGTAGTGGGTGGAAGGGGCTGGGGATTTAGCTTAGCGGCAAAAGCGCCTGCCTGGCAAGCACAAGGTCGTGAGTTTGGTTCCCGGTACCGGAGAAAAACCAAAAAAAAAAAAAAGTAAACCTTTCTTTCCCTTTTATCCCATCAAGTCCACAAGCTTATTGGTTGTGGACTACCACACCCAGGGTAGGCTACCCACACCCAGGGTAGGCCTTCCCATTATCTGCACCTAGAACTATGCTAAACCAATCAGGGGATTAATTTAGTTAATTAATCAGGGGATTAATTTTATCACACACCCTTAATGTATATTCACACATCCTAGATCCAGCCACCTTTGAAAATCCTTACCTATGAATGCATGAGTCTTTGTGGTAACATCTTCATACATGCCATAACAGTATATCCATAGATTTCTAAGATACTCACTGTCTGTGGTCCCACAATAAAATTTCATATATATACATGAAATATATAAATAGATTTCATGTATATATATATCTGATAATTACAATTATTGGGATATCAAAGGTTTACTTTATGCAAACTATATCCTTTAGAATTTAGAGAGTTTTAAATTATTAGCCCTTAAAAACTCTTTTTGGTATGTATATTTAATACATATTAATACATATGTGGGATCATATTTTACATATGATTATGCAGTTAGCTTTTTTTGTTCAACAGTACCTTGTGGGGCTTTCCAAGAAAGCTCTAAGGAATAATTCCAAGGAAGTATTTTCTTTTTAAGGATTCTATAGTATTCCATAGTACAAATACTATATCATATGTTATTTAACATTTTAAATGTTTCAAACTTCTCATTATATGCCACAATTGACAAAATCCTTAGATGATATTTTGACTGCATGTGTGGATATTTTTGCAAGTGAAATACCTAGAGCAGAATTGCTCAAAGAATAATCTTATATTGTCTTTTATGGGCTCTCTCAAAGTATGTTAGGTTTTCTACTTCCTGACACCCTTGTCAATATTTCTACTTCCTACCTCCCTGAAGCTGCACTATTTCTTGTCGTTTCTGAGGTCCATCAAAGATGAGTTGATTTACAACTTGGCTGGGAAAGCTTTATCTGTCTTAGTTTTTTCCGATTTATTACAATGAGGTATGTTAATATTCTCTACCCATCATTAATTTCTCCTTATTTAGTAACAGAGCCCAATTTTACATTGGCACACTAGCTCTCAGTCCTTGTGAGTAGGTTGTTAACCTTATCTTTGATCCCCGAAGAAACACAGCCCAGCTGCACCAATCAGGCTTTGGTTCCCCGGGGTTTACTCTTGAGCAGAGTGATACTAAGATGGAAGGCAGGTGAAGTTCATTCATCCCAGTGGCACTATCCAGATGAGCAAACTTCCTACCTCCCTGAAGCTGCACTATTTCTTGTAGTTTCTGAGCTCCATCAAAGATGAGTTGATTTACAACTTGGCTGGGAAAGCTTTATCTGTGTTTCAGTGAGGCTTCTGAATGGCCAGGTTTTACTCTTAGTCAAGATGAACTACACTAAGTCCACTCTTAGCAGTGGGATTTATAATGTGCTATTTAAAGTCTGAAACTTGACTGGTGAGCCCCAGGATTAGTTGCTCTACTCGTAGTTTTTTTCCAAGGAGCCCAGTAGGTTACATAGGCTGGGTTGTGGACATGGCCAGGGTGCACACAAATCCCTCTGGGAACTTCTGCTTTGAACCCATAGCCAAGATTCCTTGCATAGATCTTCAAATTCAGATTCAAAATACAAATAAAGTCAGATGAGAATAAGGACCCTAGGGAGTTTCAGTAAAGTTTCCCTTGAACACTCTCCTCATTGCTATTATACTGCTTTTATTTCTTCCATGATATCTATCATAATATGTAACTATCTTACGTATTTTTTTGCTCAGATATTTACATGTACACTAAATAGAAGCTCAGCAAAGCCAGGGTGTTTGCCTTATTTATGGGTGGGACCCAGGGACTAGAACAATGCAATAAATTTTTGTGGAATGAATCAATGAATTAAACTTTTCTTTTGTACTTTCTGGGTTATATGACAGGATTAAATGCTGTGGTTGAATGCCCACCTCCTAAAAAATGTGTGGGGAACATAATTACCAATGCAGCAGTGTTGTGAGCTGGCATCTAATGAGAAGTGATTAGATGTTGAGCATTGTTATGGTTTGCATCTAGATGCTCCCCCAAAGCCTCATGCAGTCATAGAGGCAGGCTTCTACAGTTTGTGATTGATTTATGGTCTGATGCTGGGATTAAGGGTGTGAGTGCTTCACCCACTCTAGGGCAGGAAATCTGCATACAGTATAAGGGATGGAAAGAGGCTTGTCTCTCTCCCTCCTTGCTTGTTGCTCTTGATATCTTCTGCCGTGAACAGTTGCACCTCTGCCATGCCACCTTGACTTGGAGCCAGCTGTTTATGGACTGAAACCTCCATAGACTGTGAGCTAAATAAACCTTTTCTCCTTTAACTTTGGGTGTCAGGTATTTTGTTTCAGCAACAAGAGAAAAGTAACTAAAACAAGGGTTGGGACTGGGGATTTAGCTCAGCGGCAAAGCACCTGCCTGGCAAGCGCAAGGTCGTGAGTTCGGTTCCCGGTACCGGAGAAAAACCAAAAAAAAAAAAAAAACAAAACAAAACAAAAAAACCAAGGGTCTTTATAAAAGGATTGGTTTGGCCCCCTTCTGACTCTCTCTCACTCTCCTTTTTTCCTTTGGTCATGGTCCTCACAGCAAGGAAACCCTTGGTGCATGCCTGTAATTCTAGCACTTGGGGGATAGAGGTAGGAAGATCACCATGATTTCAAGGCCAGCCTGGGCTGCATAGTGAGATGTTGTCTCAAAAAAAAAAAAAAAAAAAAAAAAGCAGGCCCTCATCAGGTGTTAAATCCCTAGTATTGAAAAAAGCACTTAATTTACTCAATATAATTAGAATTTATTTTTGGATTTTGTACAAGGTAAGGACCAAATACATTCTTTTCCATATGGAAGTCAGTTATCATAATACCATTTATGGAGTAAGGCAATAATTTGAAATGTTACCTTTATGGTTCTCAATTCCCAAATATAGGTCTATTTTTGGCCTCTCTGCTGTTACATTGTTCAATTTGTCTATCTGCATCAATAACATATTCACATTTATTATAACTTTATAGTGTACTTTTCTATACAGAAGTTCAAGTTTTCTCTCTTGTTTGTTTCAAGATTTTTGCCTTTTACCATTCTGCTTCTCTTCCAGGTGGAATTTAAAACTTCATAATGTCACTAAGATTTTGCTAGAATTAGACCATATGTATAGATTATTAAAGCTTGATGTCTGTATTATATTTAAGTTTCCCAAGTAATAGCTCTTCATTCCCAAGTGATAGCAATGATAGAATTCTATATCATATGGACTTGGTATCTTTTTTTGCAGTAGCTCTCTGACAAAATTTTTGGTCTATCATAACTGATCTGGTTGGAATTTTCTGTTTTTTGGAATCAATTTTGAAAAGGCTTATCTCCTGGGAGGTTCTAACTTGTATTAATAAGTGGTGGTACATTGTTTTTTCTATATTTTAAAATAATTTATGAGTTTATACTTATGCCTCTCTCTTATTTCTAGCTTGTTGGTTTTCTTTCTTTTATCAGTTAAGATGACTTCAGTTGGAAAAAACAGGAAATCATGATTCTACTTGGCTTAAATGATAAGAAATATTATCTTGCATAACAAAATGTCCAGAGACAGAGTGTCTCTATATCAGGATTCTGGTTCTGTTTTTCTGTGATTCTCTGGGCCCTGCCTTTGGGCTAGCAGCAACATGATTATAGCAATTCTGAACATCCTACCCAGCTATCTAGGAAAAGAAGCTGGGCTGGTCAGTCCTGATTGTCAACTTGAATGGATTAAGAAACACCTGCAGGGGTGATTGGATTGCAAGGGCACCAAATTCCTTGATGAGTCAACTCATTGATGAGTTCATAGCTGAATGGGCTATGAAGAGGTAGGGCCTAATTGGAGGAGGTAAGCCATGGAGCCATGGCCTCGTAGACTATATTTGC